CTAATATTAAAAACTGATTTTCCCATGTAACTTTTTTATTTCTAAATGAATTTTTGAACAGTTTTCGATTCCGAGTTCAGCATAAAGGGTACAGTTTAAAAATTATGGTCCGTGGGGTCACTTTTTGACCCCTTATAGGTGTTTTAGACACCTGAAATATAGTAACTGTTAGTAATTTTCAAAATAACATTGTAAGAGTTACCCCCCTTTGCGGAGCTCTAGTGAGGATTACATACTCTTTAGGTTTCCATCTTTAAAAGCTCTCGAAGACTTGATCAGGTTTGATTATTTTTTTTATGTATTTCATTTTGTTAGAGTTTTCTCTCTTTAAGGTCCATGTGATTTTAAGCGTCGAAAAGCCCTCCGTTTTTGTTGAACGACAAAAAAGGTCTAGTTATTATTATTATACTGAACACTTTTTTCGTTCAGCATTTGAGGAGTACCTTTAAAAATAGGATTTTTCTCTTATAACCACTAAATAGTAAATGTAAATATCTCGCGTATGTAAGGTATTGAACTTCCGCTTTAGTCACTTCCGGTTTCTACTAAAGAAAAACTAAAATACCAAAAGAAGCTAAAATCTTTCTCATTTTGAATGTCTAGACTCTCAAATTCAGGATATAAATTCTAGAGACCGATACCTACAAAAAAGTTTGCGACGGTTATTTTCGACCACTGATACTTTCTGAGATATAAGACTTCAAACATTCAAAAAGGGGGGATGAAATTTTTAAAAGTCACAATTAAGGTTTGAAAATTATTTTGAGCATAGAAATACGTTGAGACTAATTAGTTTAACATATACTGTAAGTTTCATATCGATCCGAGCCGAACTTCCGGTTTTAGGGGTCTTTGAAAATTGTTTATGGGAGTTTCTATGTTAAATTGAAATCAGTCGTGGCACGTTTTCTCTTAAAATAATCAAAATATTCTTATGAGATTTTAAGTGTACAATGACTTTGATGCGGTACCGACCTCATTAGGTCATCAAAAGATAATTCTTGAAAATAAGGGATTTCTAGGGGCCAACATTGAAAACATACTTTTTCCTGTAACTTTTTTATTTCTCAATGAATTTTTAAACCGTTTTCTATTCTGGGTTCAAAATAAAGAGAACAATTTAAAAATTATGGTCCGTGGGGTCAATTTTTAGCCCCTTATAGGAGTTACAGAAGACTGAAATAATGTAATTTTTATTTATTTTAAAAATGATGGAGTAAGAGTTATCTCCCTTTGAACATCAATTAAGAGGCTTACATACTCTTTAGGTTTCAAGTTTGGTATGCATATGACGAGTACTTCCGGTTTTATGAATCTCTAAATTTGTCTATGGGAGTTCTCATGTTAAATGGAAAATTGCACATTTCACGATATCTCTTAAAGTAATCAAGATATTCTTGTGAAAATTGAGTGATATAATGACTGTGATATTGTTTCAACCCCATTAGTTTTTGAAAATGAATTCCTTGAAAATAAGGGATTTCTAGGGGCCAAAGTTGAAAACTGACCTTTTGCCCATAACTTTTTTAATTCTTAATGAATTTTTGAACAGTTTTCTATTCTGGGTTTAGCTTAAAGAGAACAATCTAAAAATTATGGTCCGTGGGGTCACTTTTTGACCCCTTATAGGAGTTACAGAGGACTAAAATAATGAAATTTTTGTTTATTTCAAATATGATATAGTAAGAGTTATCTCCCTTTGCACATCTGTTGGCGTGCTTACATACTCTTTAGGTTTCAAGTTTGGTATGCATATGACATGTACTTCTGGTTTTATGAATCTCTGAATTTGTCTATGGGAGTTCCCATGTTAAATGGAAAAATGCACATGTCACGATATCTCCTAAACTAAATAAGATATTCGTGTGAAAATTGAGTGATATAATGACTTTGATGTTTCAACCCAATAAGGGTCTCAAAATGAAATTCGGAAAAATAAGGGATTTCAAGGGGTTAATATTGAAAACTGATTTTCCCATGTAACGCTTTTATTTCTAAATGAATTTTTGAATAGTTTTCGATTCCGAGTTAAGCATAAAGGGTACAGTTTAAAAATTATTGTCCTTCGGGTCATTTTTTGACCCCTTATAGGTGTTTTAGAGATCTGAAATATAGTAACTTTTAGTAATTTTCAAATAACATTGTAAGAGTTACTCCCCTTTGGAGAGCTCTAGTGAGAATTACATACTTTTTAGGTTTCCATTTTTAAAAGCTCCTGAAGACTTGATCCGGTTTGATTATTCTTTTTATGTTTTTCATTTTGTTAGATTTATCGCTCTTTAAGATCTTTGTGATTTTAAGCGTCGAAAAGCCCTCCGTTTTTGTTGAACGACAAAAAAGGTCTAGTTTATTATTATTATTATTAATATTATTATTATTATTATACTGAACACTTTCTTCGTTCAGCATTTGAGGAGTACATTAAAAAATAGGATTTTTCTCTTATTACCACTAAATAGGAAAAGTAAATATCTCGCGTATGTAAGGTATTGAACTTCCGGTTTTGTCACGTCCGGTTTCTACTAAAGAAAAACTAAAATACCTAAAGAAGCTAAAATCTTTGTCATTTTGAACGTCCAGACTCTGAAATTCAAGATATAAATTCTAGAGATCAATACCTACAAAAAAGATAGCGACGGTGATTTTCGACCACTGATACTTTCTGAGATATAAGACTTCAAACATTCAAAAAGGGGGGATGAAATTTTTAAAAGTCACAATTAAGGTTTGAAAATTATTTTGAGCATTGAAATACGTTATGACTAATAAGTTGAACATTTACTGTAAGTTTCATATCGATCCGAACCGAACTTCCGGTTTTAGGGGTCTTTGAAAATTGTCTATGGGAGTTTCTATGTTAAATTGAAATCAGTCGTGGCACGTTTTCTCTTAAAGTAATCAAGATATTCTTGTGAAAATTTACTGCTATAATGACTGTGATATTGTTTCAACCCCATTAGGGATTAAAAATGAAATTCTGGAAAATAAGGGATTTCTAAGGGCCAAAGTTGAAAACTGACCTTTGCCCATAACTATTTCAATTCTTAATGAATTTTTGAACAGTTTTCTATTCTGGGTTTAGCTTAAAGAGTACAATCTAAAAATTATGGTCCGTGGGTTCACTTTTTGACCCCTTATAGGAGTTACAGAGGACTGATATAATAAATTTTTTATTTATTTCAAATATGATAAAGAAAGAGTTATCTCCCTTTGCACATCTGTTGGGGGGCTTACATACTCTTTAGGTTTCAAGTTTGGTATGCATCTGATAAGTACTTCCGGTTTTATGAATCTCTGAATTTGTCTATGGGAGTTCCCATGTTAAATGGAAAAATGCACATGTCACGATATCTCCTAGACTAAATAAGATATTCTTGTGAATGTCAAGATATCTCCTAAACTAAATAAGATATTCCTCCGAAAATGGAGTGATATAATGACGTTGATAATGTTTCAACCCCATTAGGGTCTGAAAATGAAATTCCATAACATAAGGGATTTCAAGGGTCTAACATTGAAAACAGTTTTTCCCATGTAACTTTTTCATTTCTCAATGAATTTTTGAACAGTTTTCGATTCTGAGTTCAGCATAAAGGGTACAATTTAAAAATTATGGTCCGTGGGGTCACTTTTTGACCCCTTATAGGAGTTTCAGAAGACTGAAATAATGTAATTTTTATTTATTTCAAAAATAATGGAGTAAGAGTTATCTCCCTTTGAACATCAGATAACAGGCTTACATACTCTTTAGGTGTCAAGTTTGGTATGCATATGACAAGTACTTCCGGTTTTATGAAGCTCTAAATTTGTCTATGGGAGTTCTCATGTTAAATGGAAAATTACACATTTCACGATATCTCTTAAAGTGATCAAGGTATTCTTGTGAAAATTGAGTGATATAATGACTGCGATATTGTTTCAACCCCATTAGGGTTTGAAAATGAATTTCTGGAAAATAAGGGATTTCTAGGGGCCAAAGTTGAAAACTGACCTTTGCCCAGAACTTTCTTATTTCTCAATGAATTTTTGAACAGTTTTCTATTCCGGGTTAAGCTTGAAGAGTACAATCTAAAAATTATGGTCCGTGGGGTCATTTTTTGACCCCTTATAGGAGTTACAGAGGACTGAAATAATGAATTTTTTTCATTTCAAATATGATGAAGTAAGAGTTGTCTCCCTTTGCACATCTGTTGACAGGCTTACATAGTCTTTAGGTTTCAAGTTTGGTATGCATATGACAAGTACTTCCGGTTTTATGAATCTCTGAATTTGTCTATGGGAGTTCCCATGTTAAGTGAAAAAATGCACATGTCTCGATATCTACTAAACTAAATAAGACATTCTTTTGAAAATTGAGTGATATAATGACTTTGATAATGTTTTAACCCAAAAACGGTCTGAAAATGAAATTCTGAAAAATAAGGGATTTCAAGGGGCTAATATTGAAAACTGACTTTCCCATGTAACTTTTTTATTTCTAAATGAATTTTTGAACAGTTTTCGATTCCGAGTTCAGCATAAAGGGTACAGTTTAAAAATTATGGTCCGTGGGGTAACTTTTTGACCCCTTATAGGAGTTTTAGAGACCTGAAATATAGTAACTTTTAGTAATTTTCAAAATAACATTGTAAGAGTTATCCCCCTTTGCAGAGCTCTAATGAGAATTACATACTCTTTAGGTTTCCATTTTTAAAAGCTTCTGAAGACTTGATCCGGTTTCATTATTTTTTTTTTTAAGTTTTTCAGTTTGTTAAAGTTATCGCTCTTTAAGGTCCTTGAGATTTTAAGCGTCGGAAAGCCCTCCGTTTTTGTTGAACGACAAAAAAGGTCTAGTTACTTTTCGTTATCTTTACATTTCATCTCAATTCTCAGCATGATCACTTACAATGACTTCGTGTATGCAAGCGCCTGTCTTTCTGTGTCACTCTTACCCCTGTATGAGCAATTCTTTCGGTATATTACAAAAATCATGAAAAAAAAATGACATTATCTACATTCAGGTCCCAGGTTTAGAGATGCGCAACTTGTGGCACGTATGGAGAATTTAAACGTTTCTGATGCTTCTGGATTGGCGGCAAGTCGTAAGCACCGTGGCGTTCTCTACACTCACAACGATGGCGACAAGAATGACCCTTACCTCTATGCAATAAACGCTTCAAACGCAGCTATTATTTCCACTCTGAGATTATATCCAGCTCAGAACCAGCGTTGGGAGGATATTGCTGTGGGTCCCTGTGGCACGACAAGCTGCATTTACGTTGGAGATATGATAGGAGCACAAACGATTTATCGGGTTGAAGAGCCCGACTTTATTTACTCTGACCAGATTCTGACAGACGTGTCCGCCATTCAGTATCGGTAAGATATAAAACAAATTTAAATTTATAAAATTAAATATTTATAGCTTAATTTGGAAAAGAAAAAAATACGCGCTTTTTATTTTCTTTAAAAGATAACATCCTTGATTAACATGTATTTTGAATTGAAGCTGGGACAGTCATTCTGATGTTTTGATGGTAGATATACATGGCAACGTATATCTTATATCAAATCAAGAGCATCATAATCACGGAAGACGTGTTGGTCTTCTAGCCGCCGAGAGTTGGAATAGCAACCATACAGTGAATATAACAACAAATGTACACCTTCCTCACTTACATCATTTAAGCGACAACCACGATCCCTCTTCTGGTGATATTTCACCAGATGGCAAGCAGATTCTACTAGTGTCATTCAATGACCACGCTTATTACTGGAAAGTAGAAAATGACGATGTTTTGAGTTCACTAAGACACGCCCCTGTTTTCCTTCCAACTCGAACTCATGGCGTTATAGAGGGGATCTGCTGGGACACCGAGGGACGTAATTATTACGAGATTTCTGAGAGCCATCATGAACCGCCTCCACTGTACATTTTCAATCGTGTCTAAAATATTAAATCTGAATGATCTTATCTTTTTGATATTAGAAAATAATGATTCAACTTCATCATTCATTTATCGTGTAAAAGATTTTCCACTTTATGAAAATTACATACTCTAGCTCGTCTATTCCAGAGAAAGAAATTGTAAGGTTAAAAAATGTGGTTCCACAATAAATACAACGACTGCTGATAATGCACATGTGCATTAATAGTTTCACTTCAGTCGTAAACATGAAATTTCACGACTGCATATTGGGAGTTGTGGAAAACTTATTCTGACATAATTGGGACAAAAGAGAAGAAGAGCAGCGGTCAAACAGCTAGTCGTCTTCTACGTAACGCAACTGCTCCTTCGCCATGCGCTTTGAAGTGAAAGTTGCGGGTCCTTCGGATGAGACCTTACAAACCGAGGCCCCGTGTCACACCAGGCGTTGGCACGTTAAAGATCCCTCACTGCTCAATGGCCCTGAGTGCCGAGTAAAAGTCAAAATTTGAAGCCCTTCACCGGTATATGGCAACGTCTCTCTATGAGTGAAAAATTCTCGAATAGGATATAAAACAACATTCAATCAATCTTCTAGTTAACTGAAAAAACAAATGTTTTGAACATGGTTTGAGGTAAATACATGTAGGTGGTTTAACTATGAAATTCTTCATACACAAACTGGTACGTTTTACCTCGTCATACTTTCGAAAGGCACCATATGATTCTCGAAAGATCTTTATGCTGAATATTCATGTTTGATTGTACATGGCCGTAGGAACCAGGGGGGCCGTGCCCCCCAAATAATTTTGCCGATATATAGATTACTATAGTAAACATAGATACTATAAGCATGTGCCCCCTCAATAAAACCGCCTGATGACCTTTTTTTTTTTTTTTGCTTGTCAAGGAATATTTGGTAGTTGACGACCTTTTTTTTTTTTTTTTTTTTTTTTTTTTGCTTTTCAGAAAATTTTTAGTAGTGCCCCCTCAACTGTCAACTGAAAAATGTTTGGCTGTGCCCCCCCCAAACTGAAATTGCTTCCTACGGGCCTGTTATAATCAAAGATCTACTAGAATTATTTCTTTATTTACAACTTAGGCACAAAACATAGGATAAGTGGAAAAGATATTGTCGTCACTAGAACATACAATAAACAGACTTAATACCATGGGTTAAAAACTAAATACTAAACACTTGCAGACAACACAACCAGGAAAAATGTCTTTCTTTTCTGTGCATGTGTGTGTGTGTGTGAGGGGGGGGGGGGGGCAGGAGTCGATGTTCCTACTTTCTATCAATTTTATCAACATTCTTTTTCATCTTGCTGTACATCAACTTTAACGGGGGTATCCCATTGACTGGAAAGTCATTGGCTCACTGCACTACTGTGTTTATATGAAATCATACAGGTATTTATCAAGGCTGTTTTTACAACCGGTAAACGGTGCCTTTCCCCTCTTAAAAAGGTGTAAAACAAATTCCCCTTTTTACGATAGAAAATCCCCCATTAAACAAAGAATATTTAAAACATCGTTCGTAAATTTCCCGTTTTTCTCCGATTGAGGTTTTAACTGCATATCCTTATTCACCGTCACTAAAAAGAATGATGCGTATATTGCAGTATCAAACGACGGTAAAAATGAGTCAGAGAGTCAGACCGTGACTGAACATAAATCGGAAGAGTCGGATGTTAGTAGTGAAGGTGAACAGTCAGAGACTGAATGTGATAAAATTAGTAGTCCTATTAGTGAGAAGTTAGAGACTTTTTTCCTCAGAGAAGTATGAAAATAGGTACAAGTGGTTATATTACAGTTATCCCATCAGGGGATACATGTGTAAAGTTTGTGAGATGTTTGGAAGGAAGTCAGGAATATTTACAAAAGGCTGTTCCCTAGGTGACCATCAAACAAGAGTATTAGAAAGTCATGCAGTTAGTGTTGGCCATAAAGATGCAGAACAAATTCAAAGTTGCAGAAAAAGTGGAAGTGTTTATTCACTTATCCAAGAAAGAAGCATTCAAGAAAAAATAGAGAGGAAAACTTTAAATAGAAATGTTATCAAAAAACTCTTTCAGTGTGCAAATTACATGATCCATAAGCAATGGGCACTTTCAGAGAACTTTTCAGATTTTGTGAAATTTGTTTCCCATCTTGGTGTTGATGATGTTCTGTGTCACAAAGAAACAGCTTCCCCAACTGCAACTTACTTATCTTCTACTACAGTAACAAAACTCATAGACATTTTAAGTGAGCACATTGAAAGACATTTGTTGTTGTCCCTGCGAAAAGCCGAAGTCTTTGCACTGCTTGCTGACGAGAGTTGTGATGAGGCTGGACGAAAACAGCTTGCCTTGTATGGAAAGTGGGAAGATGAAATAGGAGAGATCAATGAACAATTTTTAGGCATTATTCGTGTTCCAAAAACAGACAGTGAATCATTAGTCTACCAGATTAAACATTTCTTGATGGCCAAAGACATTCAGGTGAACAGAATCCGATTTATGGCATTTGATGGAGCTAATGTTATGAGTGGAGAGAGAACAGGTTTGTACCGCCATTTTCTTCCTCATCTGAAAAATTTAATTCAAGAGAATTTTGAAAAATTGTGTTCAAATTATTATTTTTCATTTCATATACTTTTCTTGTTTTCTCAATTATCAATATGGAAATGAGCCAGATCTAAATTAAATAATTTTTTTTAAAAATATATAATATATATTAATATAATTCAGTAGTTACAGGCTACACTTTACATATTAAGTCACTATTGTAGATGTGCAAAGACGTCTGTGCCACGAGTCACCACATGCCCTTTACATAAACTGCAGGTGCCACAAGCTAGCTCTTTATCTTAAACATATTATGAAGATGTCAGAGTTTACTGTCCTTCAAGAGGTGGATTCAGTTCTTCTTGGATTGTGGAAAGTCTTTGATTACAGTCCAAACAAGTTCAGTGTTTTCAAGGAAGTACAAACTCAAATGGCAACAAGTCACTGAAGCTTATTCGGGCTGCAACCACAAGGTCAGGGTACATGTAATTCATTAGGCAAATAATTCTAATATTCTTATCGAGAAAGTGTACAGCTTCTTAATATTTTATCTTCAGACCTCTCAATTCATGTAAAATTAGACAATATATTTTAAGTTACTGCTACTTATTTTTTAGGTGGTTATCGCATGTATCCAGGTGATGCCCTTAACAGTATTTATGATGATCGCAAGGAACCAGAGGTGTTTGGGCTTAGACGTGCAATGTAGAGAAAGGATGTAGTTGCCATGATATATCTATTGTGTGATGTGCTTCAGATTGTCAATGAACCGAGTATTTTTCTTCAGAATGAAATCTTAACTTCACTGACGTACCTCACAAAGTTAATGCTGCAGTCAACAAATTGCACATATTAATAGATCAATTAGGTAATAGAGGCAACAACGATCATCTCACTTTTTCTAAAATTGATGATGCCTTTCTAGATATTATTGACATGACAAGTTTACAAAGAAGGCTTCGGGGCAATCAGTTAGGTAATATGGATTACAGCCCAGAGAACTTAATTATACCCCACGCAACAAGTTCTTTTTGACCCGTCCGTCAGTCAGTCAGTGTGTCAGTCCTGTTTTTTTTGTCAGCACAACTCCTAATAAACCGCTGCACAGAATTTCGTCAAACTTTGCAGATATTTAGGACACAATGTGTAGATGTGCATATTACCAGGAAATTCCGATTCCTTTATTTTTTCTGGGAATTTCGGCATTTTTTAACTTAGAGTTTTGGCAATATGTTGAATATAGAGATGAACAGTTTGTAAGCGCAACTCCTCTTGAACCATTGCACAGAATTTGGTCAAAGTTTGCAGATATTTAGTACACAATGTGTAAATGTGCATATTTCCAGGAAATTCCGATTCCATTATTTTTCTGGGAATTTCGGCACTTTTCAACTTAGATTTTTGGCCATATCTTGAATATAGAGATGAACAGTTTGTTAGCGCAACTCCTAATAAACCACTGCACAGAATTTCTTCAAACTTTGCAGATATTAAGGACACAATGTGTAAATGTGCAAATTACCAGGAAATTCCGATTCCTTTTTTTTCTGGGAATTTCGGCACTTTTTAACTTAGATTTTTGGCCATATCTTGAATATAGAGATGAACAGTTTGTCAGCACAACTCCTCTTAAACCATTGCACAGAATATGGTCAAACTTTGCAGATATTTAGTACACAATGTGTAAATGTGCATATTACCAGGAAATTCCGATTCCATTATTTTTCTGGGAATTTCGGCACTTTTCAACTTAGACTTTTGGCCATATTTTGAATATAAAAATTAACAGTTTGTTAGTGCAACTCCTCTTAAACCGCTGCACAGAATTTGGTTAAATTTTGCAGATATTTAGTACACAGTGTGTAGATGTGCATATTACCAGGAAATTCCGATTCCGTTATTTTTGCCTTAAGAGTTGCCTATTATTGAAGAAACTTTCCAACTAGGCTTTAAGGAAATTCAGTGGAATCAGCTTTTGTAATGAAATTTTATGTGAAATATTTTATGACCTTAAAAGACCCCTATTGATTTTGAGATCAAAATATCAATGATTCAACACACGCATAAAGTCTTGGATAGATCTGACCCCCCCCCCCCTCCCCCCCACCAAATTGGTGCTTTGCCTTGAATAATTTCATAAGTAAAGTATATAAACAAATTCATATGACTACATCATAATTTTGTTTCCATCAATTATTTAAATGTGTAAATTGTCATGTGTTGGACATGGACTTTCATTAACAAATCGAAATCACTGAGGAATTTAAATAACAGTTTGTCAGCATAACTCCTGCACTGAATTTCCTGAAACTTTGTAAATATTTCAGACATAATGTATAGATTTGTATTTTACCAAGAAATTTTGATTCCATTATTTATCTAGAAACTTCAGCCCAATTAAATTTGTAACATACAAAGATTTGAATGTCCTTATTCGCAAGAAGTTTTGATGTGCTGATTTTTTTGCAAGTA